TTTCCGTCTCAATAGTGCGTACCCCGGGCTAAGCTAACGCCATCAGGTTAGCGCTAATCTCTTTGATTGGCTAGCGTTCCAAGTCGTTATCGTAGACCTGCTCCAACCGTGCCAGTCACAATCTTATCAGGCGTTACGCAACCATAACAGCAGTGTCCTTCAAGTATAACGGGAAGGGAAAGTGGCACCTTTGTGTTCCTCTCCTTGTTCGCTTCAATGGAGGAAATCCTGGTGAAGAGGTCAGCGAAAGCCCCGAGCTCACTTTTCCATTGCCGGTTTACTCAAGTATGAGATCAGATTTACCTGAAGTCCAGGCCATGAATGACCAGCTATTTTCCTTCTGAGAGGTCTTTTCATTATAATACACTGAAATTTTGCAATTGCTTAACAGGTTCACAACATTGCATGGTTAGGTTGTACGTACGATGTACTTTATTACTTGAAGAGTCGGCTTGTGAACTTGTACCAATAACTCATAGCCTAAGGTCTGCTGGCCGTGTAGCAGGGTTAAAAGTCTGTGGTGATCAGCATCTGAATTACAGTACTGAACGTACGTCCGAGTTGGCGACGCACTTAGCTTCTGTAGTTGCAAGTGCGTATGCGTCTATGCCAATCTCAACATGTGCAGCCCCGCTAGAATTCGAGAGCATGGATTGCAATGTGGAGACACCCGCAATCCACTTGTCGGTCTTGACAGCAAGAAGCCTGCCAGCCCCGATGGCCTCCAACCGCTGATTCTCAAGTCACTGCTGCCCAGCATCTCGTCTTCCGTGACTGATCTGTTCAACCGATCGATGTCCGAAGATGCATTGCCAAGCGACCGGAAATGCTCGGTTGTTAAGCTGAATCAGAAGGGATGCAACCCAAACACGGTGGACAATTACTGGCCGATTTACGTGACCTCCGTTTTTGGCCAAAGTACTAGAGAAGATCGTGAAATCGGGTCTATTGCAGCTGCGGAAGTGGGAAAACCTCATGACGCCGGCCCAGCACGGTTTCTTGAAAGACCGCCTTTTTACCTCCAACCTGCTTTTGAAGCGGCATGAACGCTTGCAAGCGTTGAATCGGAGAATTGAATGGATTTGATCCACACTGATCTGAGTATAGCGTTCGAGAAAGTGAACAATGAGGTCCTCCTCAACAAGCTGAGGATTGAGGTGTTGGGGGCTGACTGCACAAGTGAATGTGTGTCTTCTTTCTTGGATGGAAATGAAGGGTACAAGTGCATGACTATCTAAAAGACTAGTATCCCTCCACCAGTGGGGAACCCCAAATTACAGTAATAGGGAATATTTTATTTCTGATGTACATGGACAAGTGTCACAGCTTCTTCGATCGCCTTGTGACATGTTTGCGGATTAGATTAAGATTTTAAGCTTAGTTGGTACTCCAAACAACTGAGACTTACTTCGGCATGACCGCCACCGCTTATCCAGGTGGTCTGTAGATGTCGGTCTGCCGCTCAACCCGTTAACTCGTTATTTATGAGCTCGGGGAAGGATGTTGATGATCGTACCTACACACTAGCTGGCTGGCTTGCAGATTAATCTCCCCCTGGTGCCAGCTGAGCGGTTTGGGCATTCCCCATTTCGCTGAATGGGTCAGAGGCAGCGTTCTAAGTCGAAATGAAAATCACCAACCTGCGCATGCGTTTGGGTCACTGGACAGAGCACTTTTCTTTCCAAGTTAACTTCTCAGCACAGCCCACTGTGACACCGTTTCCCTCACATGGTGCTTGGTCTGACACTACACATCCTCTTACCGAAACCGAGATTCAACGTGTAATTCAATCCTTGAAGTGTCAGAAACTCCTGGCCCTGACAACCTAACGTTGACTCTATCCAAATATGGCGGGAATGCACTTATCAGCTAAATCCTATCAATATTCATGAGGCTTTGGATTGAGGAGAAAATCCCAATTTCAATGGCAGAATCGGTCGTGGTTCCGATTCACTAGAAGGTCACCCGCGTGGATTGCCCTAATTACTGCGGAATTTAGTTGATCTCGCCTCCAATATTTTCTTGTCTTTCTTACACCACACACTTTCAGGGACTAGACAACGCGTTTCCGGGGAGGAACAAGCAGGTTTACATTCCGGATGAGATTGCATCGACCAACTCTTCACACTCCACCAACCTTTTGAACTCCATCACGTCCACCGATGGCCAAACATCGTAGTGTGCTTGGTAATCCGAGCGGCATTTATTTCCGTAGACAGTTCACTGTTGTGGAACTCATGACTAAGGAAACGTGAACCCGACAAGCTTGTAAACATCTGGAAAGCCCTCTGCAGTCCCACTCCGAGCGGGCTTTTCTCTCCGTTTGCTGTCACCAGCGGCGTAGACCAAGGTTACTCTATTTCACCTTTCTGCTTTTATTTGTACACCGGAGTCTTCGTCCAACAAGCAATGGAAGGCCCTCAACACTGCAGTATTGGGCTTCTTCCGGGTGACAGATTTGCGGACTTGAACTACGCCGATAACATCACTTTGTTTGGGGACGATTCACAAGCTGTCCAGAGGGCTTTGAAACGCCGAGCGATAGAGGCGTCTAAGTATGGCATGTATTTCACTCCAGGCAAATATAAAATGCTACTTCAGGATTGGCAGATGCCTGTGCCTGACCTTACCATTGCTGATAACATCCAGGAACAAGTACTCTGCTTCACTTATCTAGGAAGTTACCTCACAGATGGCTGCGGTATTGAGGACGATGTCTCATAACGGCTCGCAAAAGTCTGCATAGCAGTAACCAGACCGAGCCACTTATGGCGCCTGCACTACGGTAGTCTCAAACTTCAGGTCAGGGTGTACATTGTCTCTGTCCGTGCGATCTTATTGTACGCCCGTGAGACTTGGCCGACTAGCTCGGAAGACATAAAACGATTTTCCGTTTTCGACAATTGTTGTCTGCGTAGGACTTCTCGCGTGTGGTGGCACCATCACGTGAGTAGCGCAGAAGTCCGACGAATCTTCACCAAATCAGAGTGAGTGGTTAGAGCAAACATCCCATGCATCCAAACTGTTATTCTCAGACACCGTATGCCTTTGCTCGGCACTATTGCACATGCCAACCTATAGTCTTCCCCGTCGAACGTTATTTGCGCTCACTGAAAGCGACTGGAAAAAGTGCTGCGGTGGACAACCAATAATGTGGAGAAGGCGCATGAAGAACGCAGCCTCATGCTTAGCATTCGTCGGACCGGTCCACACTTCTGGATAGGGACCAGCTGCTCATAAGGCCAGTGGTTAGGAACGTTGAAGTTTATGGCACAAGACCAACATTAGTGGCGACTGTTTTGCAACCGCATTGTCTATTGGTTACTGCCTAATCGAACATATAAACTCTAACGCACTGAAGAAACTCGGATTGGTGAGAGAAAAATCAAAAAATCGTTTTCCTCTCGTGTTGTAGTATGTTTCGCCCTTTATTCGCCATGGTTCAGACGGCCCCTTGTCTGTAACCTGAGAGTAAACATATATAACTGCTACATCCAACACCTTCCGTGAAAGACCTAAATGTCCTCTCACATAGAGAATTGAAGTCCGTAGACAAACAGATGTGTCATATGGAAAAGGACTGCGTACGCTTTGGGCGCTCCAAAGCGGCTTTTGCATTTGGTCTGACGGGATTATCATGCGCCTGTTCTCTTCCACCATAAGACCGACACTCCTATTCTTCAAATATACGTGCAAGGAACAAAACCTGGAACGCGTTCTGTATGTGGCTACCAAGTTCATCCCCAGTTTACGGGGTATGTCGTACGAAGACCGATGCAGACGAGTTGGGCTGTACACCCTTTCTTATCGTTGCTTTATTCTTGACCTCATAAAGACGCACCGGATGTTGCATCTGCGTCACTTCCTCAGGTTGTGGCCGCTGCTTTACGTGCGTGCATCAATCAGTACTCGCGGGCAACGGTACCAGCTTTGTACCACATCTATAGCGGATAGCTTGCCCTCTACGCTTCGAGCACTCAGTGGTGAAAGACTAGAACGGATTGCTTGAGAAAATATTCGAGGCGAAATCGGTGTCGGAATTCAAGAAATTCTTAGATTCCTCTTTAGCGGACTTCAGATTCAGAGAGCATATCGCACCCGAATATCAAGTGGCTTAGCAGCAATATGCTGCAAACGCGCAGGAAACACTTACGTCATTCCGCGCACGAGTCTACACTAACCACGATCGAGCAACAGAGACTTATAACAACTAGCACTATTTTCAGTATTAAGTATTCAGCACGTTGACATTTCCATCCACTGCACTGCTAGATTTCATGTCTACTATCTCCGGGTTTGCTTCATCGTTTATTTAGTTCACCTACGGTAACTGGTTCATATTTGTGATCCTTAACTATACGTGGTCATCACTACTAATCACATTCTTCCCATTTTGAACCGTTCGCTACGCGCTTATCAATCAATACTATCTCGTGCCTGAACTGGGATATCAGTTACTTTTCGGCAACACCAAGGCCAATCTGCGTTGTCAGCAATAATGGCGAGCAAACGTCAAGCCATCCTCTCCTTGAAGACCGCAACAGAAGTACGCTACTGTCTGTCAAACGTTTAGTAGAAATAGTTAGCTAGCACATCCTAAATGATATCTCAGGACCCTGCCGGAAAATGAGAAATGAGCCTGGTGACTGAGCGATGGACATCGCAGTTGAAACAGCCGTGGGGTCCATAACTTCTGAGTGACGGTGAAATGTGGCTTAAATGGCATAGCAATTCGTTGCATTGCAACTTATTCCCTTAGTGCTTCCAACAAAACAGCTTCACCCTCCCGCGTGTTAGCCGCTGGTCGGTTCTGAATGAGCACCTCGAATTTTCAGTATCAATCCTACCTTGCTCTATCGTCAACTTCATATCTGTTCCTACGCCATCACCATTCATGCACTAATAGTGCCGATACACCAACAACACAAGGGTTGCCCAACGCCCATGTTCGTAGGTTCAGTTGGAAAAGAGAAATTTCAAATTACCGCCAATGCCTTTACCGATGTGCTCCTGCCATCCTTCCATGGTAGGCGCCGTTGGGAAGTGCAATATGGGTACGGAGTTGCTCTGTTGTCCGTTCATTGTCAAGGGCAGTGTAGAATGTCTCTGGGAATCGACGGACTGTAACCCATACTGAACAAGCTGATCAAAAGATGGTATTAACGGCGTTGTTTCCACAAGGTTCATCGGAGTAGAGTATACATCGGTACCCGGAAGACGATAATGCTGGGATGAATGACAGTGGTTTGGGACCCACTGAGCTCCGGTAAAACCTTGTGTGAATGGTGTGTATAGATCACTGGCAGCACGAATTCCTAGACCGCTGGTATCCGCTGTAACCGGTAAAGAGTTCAGTGGATTCGTGAAAATGTTGGACGATCTGTCACTTCCTGAAATCAGGCGGTTTTGACAGAGTAATGATGATGTGATGGATTTTATACTGCTACCAGTTCGATATTGGTTCGTTCCACTTCTCTTGCGCTTTTTCCACTTCGCTCGGCGATTCTGGAACCAGACCTAAAAAGATAAAATAAAATTTGTTGTGAATGAATGCTGCGCACATCAAGAACACAGCTTAAGAGACATGGTTAGTGCGACATTCGCAGAGTGTATTCCCATTGCGCTTTACCTATGCTTCGCTTCAGTTGCCTTCAGACCCTGCGAAAATCAGGGCTTTGTTTCCCCGATCAGCAGCAGCAAGGTGGCGTGAAACCATGCGAAGACTAATAAATTTGTAATACTTGTGAAATGTTCGTAAAGTAGAAGTCACGATTAAACTTCACACAATAATCTGCCTCGATGTGGAATCGAACCCCGGTCCCACGAATTACCGGTCCGTTGCTCTACCACTGAGCTACCAAGGGCTGATGATCATGTGCGCAATTTAATACATCTGCTTGGTGCGCGACATATTGCCAATGAGCTCACAGTATCTGTCCTGGTGTTGCACATTGGCTCACTCACTCGTGGGACCGGGGTTCGATTCCCCGTCGAGGCAGATTATTATGTGAATTTTAATCGTGACTTCTACTTTCTACGAGAATTTTTATTAGAAACAATAAAGCCTTCGAAGATGACTACCTCTATATCCATCCTAACCACCACTCGGTTGGCCGTTTTATTGTGCCTGCTTGAACGTTCACCATGTGAAAGTTGCGGATGGGGACCTTCAAATGTTGGCCGCCACTGTATATTTACCACATTTGTCCAGTACCCTGAATGGTCAACTGACGGAGGTTTTACTGTATAAAATGCGGAATCCCAGAAAAGAGAAAGTTAGGCGATCGCTCACGTTACTTACCAAGGTGGTGAGGATTGAGGTTCCGTATCGAAACAAAAGTTAAGTCAAAGAGGCGTAAGTATCTCCACTAGGTCGACTGTTTACCCTCACCTTGACGACCGCCATCTTCACATTTTATCTACCTAGCTTAACTAAACCAGGTTAATACTATGTCCCACCCTAACTTCACCTGGACATTAGAGACAAAATGCTTATCTTGCTTACGATCTTTTAAACACCGTGTCCTTCACAACGGCAATGTCATGAGCATTGAACCACGCATGCGGTTCCAGGCATTCACGAAAATGGCCCACTCGAAATACACCCTCACAAGTCAGGCAACAAAGCACTGAGTTGTGCATGTATGCACACGAGCGAACCGGCCTGTAAGTGTTCAAGGTCTCATGTTAATTCGTCTGGTCACGCAAGCTGGACTCGATTTCGGCGTGAATCAGTGGGTCCAGTATTTCGCACACTTTAACCCAAGCGCGAATTCCCGGGATACAATGTGGATAGCACTGAGAGGAACAATGCAGCTCTGACAGGAAGTGAACATTGGAGCATACGAGCCAAACATTGGTCCTGTTCGTGGTAGCCTCCATATAACTATGCTAGCTAGTAGTAAGTAGAATTGCATCCAAACTCGAGATTATCTAAAGCGGTGAGCTCTGAAAATGTCCGTGATGTTTCCAGGTATACAAGGATGAATTATGAAATACTCGAGTTAGGATGCTTAATAGTTTTCGAAACTCATGCATGGCGACTGGGCACCAAATATCGTGTTTAAGGTCACACTTGTTTTCACTTAGTCTGGTGCAAGACTGAAGGCAGCTGAAAGGAAATTGTTAGCCGTGGATTCAGTACGTCGTTAGTGGCAGTGCATCCATGTGTTGTGGGATGAGGTGTCGCGCTTTAACACAGAGGGAAGGGAGCAGCTACTTGAAGCTACTCGTTTGCACGTTGGATCGGTACGTGCCCTTTGATACGCGTGTTGTTTGCCATCTGACGGGGGTTTGGTGGGATGAACAGCTTAGAACCTGTTCACGTTGCTTCTGGAGTCGTTCACCGACCATAACCAATCTATTGATTCGCAGTCCCCTTGACTAGTTACTTGTATTGGTAAAAACATTGTGCCTCGGAATATTCCGGGATCGGGGGATCCGTAAGGAAGTCCGCAAACCTTGCGTAGAGTAACTCACTTCCATTAATGCCGGCTTACTAATATGAGGCGCACCAACTCATCACTGTACTACTTGCTTTGCTCAGGACAGACCTGCATCAGCTTATCCAGGGAAACCAATGATCAGAGCTGGGTGCATGCTTTGCATGAATGATACCATATCATTGTGTAGGTACGTAGGGAGTTGCATGTGGAACTGAGGCATGACCAATACCGCAAAGTACTGTACTGATTTGTTTTAAGTACAAAATTCAGAACAATATTTACACGCAAGATAAACTGAGCTGAGCATAATATCCACATTTATTCTTTCAAGCCCAGAGAATTTATTTAAGAGTGCCCTAGAATCTCATGACACATTCTTATAATACTTATAATACTTCGAAAATAATGTTTTTGCAACACTACACCAGTGTAAAAGTTAACAACAATTAATTTTGAAAATTTTTATTATGTGTAAGTTAAAATTTCGTGCAAAATTGTCGTTCCAACCACGATTCAAGGTGCTTGATAGTCCTGGAAACAGGCTTTTCTTTCCACAAGACAGAGAGTTTACATGTATAACACATCCATTGGTTGCGTACTTCATCGAATTTTGTGCTAAAGGAGGCACATCTCCTTGCTGACCTTTCTGGCTGTTGTGATGAGCTCCGAAATCGAATTGCTTTTGGCACATATGGCTTTTTTAATATGTACTACAGTGGTTGTTAACTTTTACATAAGCACTGTTGAGAAAACTTTGAAATTTCGCTTCTAAAATGTTTCATGCTCAATTTAGGTAGCTTTTGTTCCTTATAGATGACAAAAGCATTAACAATACTTGGATTAACAAAGTACCAAAGATCCCATGTCACCATTTCGCACTCTCTCTGTCAAGTTCACCTGTGCCTTTTGTCTGGTCAAGTTTGTCTACACATTTCATACTGCTATTATAATCTTCTCTGCTCTCGCAACGTCTGCTGTGTCTCATGGGTTATAATAGTTGGAAAGAGGATGAACGCTGCCTTTATCTTTCCATTGCAGCAAACTCAGCCCCGTATCACTTGTTGCCCAGTCATAATCACCCCGTTTCATGTTTATATCATTTGTGGATGAAGGCGCTTTTTCTTGATGTGTTTACTGTCCCGCAGGCAAATATATTTTTTCGCTTTCGTATACTGAAGGAATGCTGGGCTTGTAAAAGAGTTGTCACAAAATAATCCGGGTTCCTTGTTGTGTAACCTTGAGTGAGAGTTCACAAACCTTTCACCTAACTGTCACTCTACAACCGCACCCTTCTTGCCAGTGTACAACTCAAATCGATGCACATCTGCTGTAGTATGTGACAGTAATCACAACTGATAACCACGCTTTGGTGGGAGTTTATGCATGCACTGTTTGTTTAATACTCTACCTTTGAACATTATCATTGAGACATCCAGAAGAAATTCTTCCGGTGAGAAAGCGTTCTTTGCGTTGTCAGCAATCTTCACGATTAATGATTGAACTTGCAAGGACTTGTCAAAGCTTTCTGCCCATCGTTTTGACATTTTCGAGTTATCGTTTGGGTGCAGTTTTGATAAGATTTATACAAATTGCTTAACGAAAAGTAGGTTGTAGATGTAGGTGTCGTGTAAATCAGCTGAGCTGAGCTCTAATATGCCATGAAACTGGGACCTGGCTTTATTCCCAGCAGTCTGTTCAAACCAATGCATGTCTTCATTTCTTCGTTAATGACTGGTTTGTAAGGGTTGTCAATATTAAAATAATGTTGCTGCACACCGCGTTGTCTGGAAAACAATATTTCCTTTATGGCTTTTGCAAAGGAGAATTTCCAATGACTCATGTGGGGTTGGATCAGCCAATTCTTGTACACAAGCATCAAGACCACCCTCTGCTCTGACGCAGTTCGCAGGAGCAGGAAGCAGTGTACCTCCTTACACATGTTGACCAAATGGTTCTGACAGTGTTGGGAGTGTTTTATCATCTTCACTTTCACTTTCAATGTCGAATAAGGAAAGTATTCGTCACCATGGTTCTCATCCGAATGAACCGATGATGTCTTCTTGATGTCTTCCTCCATGAGAGCAAACACTTCCCGTAATTCTGGTGCTCTTTTGATTGATAGCTGCACTGTAAAAAGTTAATGCCCTCATTAGCACATAACTTGTATAAACAACATTATTATTTTAGTCGTCTTCGCATAGAATTCAAAAAGTTATATTTCTAGATGTAGGTCTGCAGTATTATAGTGGTATCAATGTCTTCATTAGTCTGGTGGGTCATTTTCCGGATGATCATATTCTTCACTTCTAAAACATCAGGTAATATATAATTACATTATATTTCAATAAAATGCTTTGGAAGATGCACACTGAACTAGAGAACTTAAAAGCATGAAAACGAAGCACGATCAGCTGCTTAAGCTATCAATTGTAGACTGTCACAGAAACGTAGTGAAGCTTGAGACACTCATTTTGAAAACTCTCGGTTTATTCAACAATGCTGACCTGATTCACCAGTGACACCTGTTTTCTGTTTAGAATAGGAAAAACTATTACAGTAATAGGTATCTAAGGCGACCACTCAAGAGACAGACAAAAAGTGTTCTTCTCGGGCAGGTGGTCGCTATAGTCAGATTCATGCATAGGGACCTTACTCCTAGAAAACGTTGGAGAATTTTTGGCTGGTCACCACAGTCAGGTAGCCGCCATAGCAGGTCGGACCGTATTTGTAGAAGTGGGACGCAAAATGCACAAACGAGCTTATCAGTATCGTCCTTTTTTGAAGGGCGGTAAATAATTATTCATCATGCAACAAACCAGTACTTGGAGGTGGGATAAACTGAAACCCACCGAGCATGAACGAGTTAACACACATGTAAATACATCTATGCCGATTTCGTGGGGATAGGAGCAAGAATGAACTCTGATGCACAGTACGACGCATCGCCTACAATCGTTGAATACGCTAGTTGGACATGTATAACTGACTGCGACCATGAGGTAGTCGCCTCTACGTCACTAGCCGTAAAAGGATGAGCGCCGAAAGTTTTCCGTCGTTCTCTAATACCGAAGT